CACACACACACACACACACACACACACACACACACACACACACACACCTAATTTTAGCTAACCTATGTGGGGGAGGTCACCCACTACATCTTGAAAGTAATAAAGACACAAACAGCACAAAGTCACTAAAGTGTATGTGTTGTTTTTTATATCCTAGTAGGGACTTTAAATTGCATGCCAACTCATGGGGAACTCCTGTTACGGTGGTTCAGACTGCTTCTGGAGGATTAAGACTTTTACGTTTTAGGTTAGGAGGAGAGGATGTGTGCTGTTTTCCATGCTTTTCTTCACTCTTCACTAGCAGAGCTGTAATTGAAGCAGTCACTGCTGGACTTTGATTCCTTCGTGCTTTCCATGCACAAAGACAGAGGAAAAATCCAAATTCTTTAGAAATCCTGTTCTATATATGTTCACTGTGCTTGGAATGGGAACACAACAAACTCTGGCAGGACACCATGACGTATTGTTTGGCACACCACAGAAATGATCATTGACAGTGCTATAGGCCAATCTGTAGCCAGCTGCTCTGTCCTGCAAAAAGAGTCACAGTCATCCTTTAGAAAGTACCCACAGGAGTTCTGTGCATTTTTCTGTGTTCTATGTGAGTAGCAATGCAACTGTCTTTATAGTGGATCGAGAACAAGCCTGATCCACAGAAGCCCCACCCTGTAGTCCAGGACACAAAGGATGTGCTGCCAACGTTCCCATACTAAACCAAACCGGACACCTCCAGTAGTATGTGTCCATAGCCCAACCAGTGAGGGCTGTTTTGGTTGCACAAGGGAGAGACAGTATTGGTTGAGTGGTTTTAATATTGTGGATGATTAGTGTGTTATCATAGTGCCTGGAACCATGTGTTCGTCTGCTGTCCCTACTCACTAAGTCTGCACTGGTCACTGCACGTGGATGTGGAAACCATGAATCGACCTTTAGGATTAGGCATTTAGTTGGAATAGTTTGATTAGGGTGGAGGTAAGTAATACTGTGTGTCAATTTAGTGTCTCTGTGGGGATACTGAAATAAACTTGCATGTGTGTATGTGGGTATACTCAGTTCTGTGCAAAAGGTTTCAGTACTTTTGTTGTTTATATTCTTATCTGTCTAGCAATATCAATGTGGAGGCCTCTGATCATCTAAAATGTATTCTGCAGCAGGACAATGAGCTCACACATCTATCTAGAGTCAAAGAATTATCTTCACCCACACGAAGAACAAGAAGACCTTCTGCAGATGGTCTCGCTCCACAGAGCCCAAATCTCAACTTTACTGACTGAGTCTGGGATTATATGAAAAGAGACAAATGACAGATCATTTTGAAACCACGTACTGTGAAGGATATAAGAGGAAGACAGTAACAGTTTAAGGTGCAATATTATGATAAAGTAGTTTGTCCCAGTTGAATGATATTGCATGCAAAAGTAAGCACATTGTAAGGTCAGGTATAGTATGCACTGAAAGTAATTAGAAAAAGTTTGTGTTTTGGAATGCAGCCTCTGAGACTGTTGTGTGTTGACTAAGGAGAACCAAAATGGATGGCAGGCAGACTGGAGAAACAGTTCAAAAGGTTACTATCTTCCACCACTCCTCTTTGACGGAAATGGTACAGTTCAACTAAATTTATTGGTTGCCTTTCGCACAGTGCACAGGTTCTCAATTGAAGTCAGGAGGTTTAAGACTTTGGGAAGACGAGTCCAAAACCTTTTTTCTACACTGATTTAACCATTTCTTTACACCTTTGATGTTCGTTTGGGGTCATTGTCTTATTGTAACACCCAACTCTGTCCAAGACCTAACCTTCTGGCTGATGATTTCCATTTTCCTTAAGATTAAGATCTTCATAATTCCATTTACTTTGTGTAAAGAACTAGTTCCACTGGCACAAAAACAGCCATGGAGCATAATACGACCACTACCATGCTTGATGGACAGTTTGGTGTTCTTGGGGTTAAAGGCCTCACGTTCTCTCCTCCAAACATATTTCTAGTCATTGTGGCCAAGTAGCTGAAAACGCGCTGGAATGTGGACATTGACATCTGTATTCCAGCAGCTTAGGAGTTACAACATATTGGGATTCCAAATTCCGTGTCTACAACATGTACTGTAATAGAACATTGTTATTCATATATCCACCACTGCCCCTGTTTAACTGCTCATTTTGAAGTGATAGCGACGGAAAGAGTTCACAGTCACACTGATCATTTTCTAAATCTATTGTGTATTATGTGACTATGCAGGATCTGTAGTTGGTCTTTTCCTATCAAAGTACAATTTTCCTCGATGTCCTGAGTTGTCTTTTGAGACTGGTTAGGTTTGACCATATAAATTATTGATATCTAAAAAGGGACCCCCTTCTGCCAACCTCCTCCCTCAACTCAACGTCTTTCAAAGTCCCCGGAGTGATCTGCCAATCAGATCTGATTTGTCTTACTTGACTGATTCCCAAGAAACACAGCCTAAAGCCCCTTAGACCCCTGCCGTCGAAATAAATGCTTCCCTCACAAAACATGTGGGGACTCCAGTCCCTAACATGGTTTGCAATAAGGGCCACTGCATTAATGCTGGCACCCCAGAGGGCTGCTCTCAGTGTTTGAAATAAAATAGTAGGTTTAGAATGATTCTGTTATTTCTGACAAAAACACAATTATGAAAATGGTGCAATTTAAATACAACACAAACTTAGATAAAATGAACAATCCATGTGTGCAAGGATACACTTAAATATTTTACAACTAATAAGCTCACTCAAAATTTATGTTAGCAACAAGACCAAACATGATGATTGGACTTAAGATCATGGTAAAATTTTCAATTGGCTTTGCTTGTTTGATCTGTCTAGAATTTAACATTTCTAATTTCAGTAATTATACTTAAAATTGTAAAGTTCAAATAACACCTTAGTTCCTTTCAAATACCTACACTTTAAGTGCATTAAGTACTTGGACTTAAACTGCAGTTCTAAACATCTCACAAGCAAACGTTCAAACTAATCATCCTACTCATTTTGCAGGATGTAAATAGTTGCTAGTAAACTGTGACTATAAATGTTTGGAGCACTATGGAGCAGATGCGTGTGTAAGTGTCAGTTTTTTATGAAAAAAAAGATCCTACATTCAGTCACATTTGTTGTCAATAAAAGTGTATTGGGGCTTTTTGCTGCATACTTACAAAATGTAAGATGTATTTATGATGTTATATAAAAATCCTAATAAGCACTGACAGGTATATCAAATGCTTAAGCCGAACCCAAAAAATAAAAGAAATAGTGACATACCGTGGGCTGAGTCGGAGGTCCCACAATCGAATGAAAGTGTCATAGCCGCAGGTAAAGAGCTGAAATGGAGACTCAAACAATATGTCCAACACACCAGCACCGCGACGAAACTCTGAGCCAAGAGTGCACACACACGCTGACCTGGTGAATGAGAGAGGGATAGAAGAAGATTGTAAAGGGAGGAGAAAAGCAAAGAATATCTTTAACCATAAACATTAATGTTTATCGAGTGAAGCTTTTTGTGGCTACATGTGACCACTTTCATATTCACATTAACATTGCACATACAATATCATCAAAGCTAAGACAGGTTGTGTTTTATACATTATATTCAGTTCCTGCTGTTTGTTTGCTCAGATTGTTGGCAGTGCATTTGTAGATACATATTATTCATGTCTACATTTGGTTAACTTACCCTACACACTTATATTTTAGTTTGTCTTTAGTTTGGTTTTCCGGTGGCAATTTTCCCCTGTTAAGGGACTTTGAGTACCATGAAAAGCACTATACAAAATAAATAAATATATTATTATTATTTATTAATTTTTTTATTTATTTATTTATTTATTTTTTTGCTGCATAGTTACAAAAAAATAAAATAATAATAATAATAATAATTTTAGTTTCTATTTAGTCACCTACCATTGTTGATGGTGCTGTAGCTGGTTGCTGACAGACATCTTGTCAAGCTACAATTTGAATGGTTCACATATAGTCTGATATGTTGAACTTATTTTAAACTCACTTGCGTCTGGCTAACCTCCCTTATGGACTCACAACTGCAGTTGGTTATTTTGTTTTCAGGTGTATATATGTATGGATTAATTGCAGTTTATGGGTGGGGTAGGCACAAATCTAACAAATCAAATCAAATCAAATCAAAATAAACTCAGGCATATGCATCAACTTCATACAGAAGCAGACTATAAATAAACATGTTATTATTAGCAGAAAGCTAAACTATTAGCAACACTGAACACTAGCACTCACCACCTGCTTGCAGGTAAATGTACTTACAAAACCTAACCAACCACTAGAACACATGCAGATAATACAGGAAAATGAATTGAGCGGCTTACTTGTCCAGAAGAATAATGACAAGTTCGGAATATAGTCACAAGAGAGTTACTTCTTCTGTGGTTATGCTTCTTTGATATTGACATGTTTTTAATTGACAGAATCCCTGTTTTCTCTCTTTTTTCACTTACTTTGCAGGGTAGACAGTTGTTGCTGATGCTGGAATAACATTTCTTTCTGCAGGATTTCCTACCATGTAATCAGACTTTTTGCCATCTGAACAGATGTGCATGCAAATCTGCATTTATAGAAAAGCCAGCAAAAATGACACCCTCTCTCTGAATAAACATGTGATTGGTCAAACAGGCAGATTTTCTAAAACTAAGTCTAGTTTCCTCTCAGACCACTTGAATTTAGCCACCACACAAACCTCAGAATCATGAGAGTTGAAACAAGATTTGCTAGAAAGTGTGAAATTTGCCTTGAGGGTCAGTTTCATCTTCAAAATAATTGTACAATGCCACATCTCCAGTTATCAATCTCTTATTTTATTGTACCTTAAACTGTGAACAAGAAACTGAGATATTTTAATTCCTTGACAAATATTTCCCTATTTTCTGGCACAGGATCATGGCCTCGGACTTGACTGCAAACTTCAAATATCAAAAAAGCAATTCAGAAACATCAGACACTCTCCTAACCTAGAAGAAGAGCCTGAAAAGTAAACTTTGTCTCATTATTCTTGTTATGGCTGTTCATTGTTGTAACTGAATTGTTGTTGAATGTCATCAATATTTTTTAATTTTATATTTTTCATTTTTAACAAAATGTGTTCACATGGGCTTGAAATCTTCGCTGTTGTCTCTGTGTCTGGATTAGCGAGCATGGCTTTGAGTGTGAGACTACAAACACACAAAAATTGTGTGAATGTACAAGAGATAAATAAAGTTTGTGTGTCTTGGCTGATGTGTGTGACCTGTGTGTGTGTCCAGTGAGTCCAGCTCTATGCAGCACCATGCTCTTGTGATCACAGCTCTGTCCCGCTTGCTGCTCAGCTCTTGATTATTGGAGAATAACTTGCACTCAGCAGGACAGATTATTGCAGAATAACTGTCTCTTTGTTGCCATTTAATACCCTCCATGACCGTGACTGTGTGCAGCTCTCGCATGTTTGATACCTGCCTCGTAGCAACCATTTAAAGGAGGCTGCTGGCCTTGGCGACCAAGCAGCCCTATGCTTCGACTCGTGCCCCCCTCCCTCGCCTTGGAGCTCAATCCGCAGGCTTGGGCTGGTAATCCCCTAGCCTTACCCCAGGGAGCCTTGTTATTGGGCCAGGGCTTTCCCCACAGTGTGCCTTATTGGGTGAGAGCTTTCTCATTGCCAGGGTCTCATGACTAAGCCAGGGTCGATGGGGAGTCTGTGATGAGGCTGAATTTGTGTCTGTGTGGGGTAGTTCTGGGGTAGTGACCCCTCATTTTCCCCTTACCAATAACACCAAGGAGCTTAGCATATCCCACACGAAAGGAAACTCATTCAAGCCAAAGGGATAGGAGCCTGTTCATTTATAACTAAATAATGATGTCTCCATCACAGCACTACCACTCCCAGTAAAAAGAAACCAAGAGTTCATAGCCTTAACCTCTGAAATCATTTAGGCAAGAGGATTACAATCGTACACTGTTCTGAAAAAAAGAGTAAAAAACAATGACAAAAGCTTAAACAGGAGAGAAAAATAAAAGGTAGGTTTCCATAAAATTGACCTGACATCTGTACAAGGATCTTAAAGGCAGTAATAGCACCATGCAATGAGCTGGTGTATGGTGAAAAACAGCAGGGATTCTCAAATTGGTAGGTCTCTGGCTTTTACGGGCCGTGAGTGATTACAGGATGAATGCATCAGCATATAATCTGTCAGAATGACTGTATCTGTTAGTGAACAGCGGTGCAATGTTCTGAACTGACCATCCTTTCTGGTACTGTCTGGGTCCATATTGTAAAATACCTGAGTATGTTTAGGTGTCACGTGATGTACCCAAAACAACACACCAACATAGGCTGTAAGGTGTAAAAGTAACAGGGTGGCTTGTGTCTGGTACTGTTAAAGTCACCAATCTAAAATCAGTGGAAATGTGGTAATGTCATCCTGCATGTGGTGTACATTAAAAGTAGTGTGCAGTCCACTAAACCTCTGGTTTTGGGGTCACAGGTCTGTCTGGTAAAAAACAACTGATGTGTTTTCTCATTTGTTTTACAACAAACATTAGCATGTTGTCAATAAGGAAACAAGTCACACAAACAATATTGGTAAGATACATTAATTACTGGTTACGGTCTGCACATGGAATTTGTTGACTTAAGAGGTCAAGGAGGATTCTTTCATCTTCATATCCAGTCAGTGATATTGACTTAAGTAAAACACATCAGGATAAATACATCAGTATTTACTAAGTCTACAGTGCATGAACTGAAGAAATTAACATATTGATCCAAATATCCTGTCTAGAACAGGGATGAATACACATGTATACTGTTGCACTTACATATAAGATATACTTGGCATATTTGCGGTAGCTTTTCTGCGGCTGATTTACTGACACAGCATGCTGTTGAGATTGAGGTAACATTTGGATAACTTTGAGGTTCAAAAATCATGAGCTGACAAGAAAATGCCACAAGGCATGCCTCAAACCTGCTAAAGACATCACACAAGCAGCGCAGACTAGAGTGGAGGGGATGACAGGGATGAGTATGCATGCAATGCCATCCAACCAGTGTAAAACTAAAGCTGCCAGAGTCACAGTAAACATTCTCGACTCACTATTCTGATTCACTACAATGAGGAAATAAATAAAATATGAAACTGCTACGCTAACAACCTGAAACATTACGTACTTACTGCAGCTCTGTACACACTTTTCCTGTGCTGGGAGGGATTATTAGATAAATGCAAGTGTGCTCACTTTCAGCTTGACTTCCAGATATAGTGGATTAGGTCTTAAGGTTAAACTGCTGGTTTGTTGATCGTGATAGTCGGACTTTGTTGTGGCTTTGTTCGTCATCATTACTATCACCATAAAACATTTGTAGAGTTAAAGCTGTATTGGAAAGAGCTTTTGTTACTGTTTTGATGCTAATGGACTTAACTACTGCTTGATGTAGATTATGCCATTAAAATGATAAAGAATAACATGGAAATCATCTGTTTTTGTCAGATAGAATTCTGTCACTTGAGAATGAAGCAGTGTGAGCTGCAGTACGGCAGCTACTTTGTGTGATGTGTAGCTTGGTGGCCTTAGTGGGCAAAGACTTAGTTATTGTTGTGAAGGGCTACTGGCTGTGACACTGAGGGTCTAAGTCCTAATTTAAGCCTGTCTGGCCTCACTGCAGGAGTCAGGTTGGCTTTAGGGGCAACACACACACAAGTTGTGTGAAAGGAATCATTAATGAATTGACAATGTTGAAAAAAAAATGAAGACAAGGGCATTATCCTCTAGGGAGGGGATAGCTAAAGAAAAGCAGTCTGTGTGTGTGTTTTTTGTGAATCAAGTGATTGGAGGCTCTTGTAAAGTCTTAGTTCTAAAACAGTAGCCTGGGGATGCAATGGGAAGCAGCCTCTCTTGTGAAAACAGGTAGAGAAAAGGAGCCCTGCTGAGGTTTTTACTCACTTAAAACAAACAGAGAGGAGCTGCGCAACCTGTTGCATGTCCACTCCATTTACCCTGTACTTTTGAGCTTGCTGCAGCGCAACTGTAGAAGCCATGTGAGCTTCCCAGGCAGAGACACTGGAAGGGAGGGGTGCTGGCTTCTGGGATACATCGACAATGAATGACCATCTTCAAAATTTCACATTCACGCGTGCAGTGCAAAGACAATACTGATGCAATTTGTATAACAGAGCGTCCACACCAATGCAGACTTTCAACCCCACTCTTTTCAGAGCAAGGAATGTGAGGAATCCTAGCCCAGCCATTTGATTGTAAGAAGGAGGCTGCCTTTTTGAAGGAGCAGAGGGGAGTGTCGGGAATGATGGTCAGGGTACTTTCTCTTTGATGCCTTTCCCCCCTCTGTGTTTAACCATGAGCGAAGGCAGTGTGAAAAGTTGAGCTGCTGTGTGGATGGTGCC